GGGTGGGAGCGCTCATCGTGTCAATGCCAAGAGCGGTTTTTGCAGATCTAAAGCATGTTGGAAGCAGCAATGACACAACGTGCCTGCTTCGGTTTCCCGGGACAACGTGGCTTGGACTAAACCATCTTTTAAGAGTCGTCTTGGGATTCCTGCTTCCCTACAGCATCATGATCCCATCCTATCTGCTTTTACTGAGGTTTCTTTGCCAACACAAACCCAAAGGGACTAACTCCAGACGAAACGCAGACATTTCAAAGTCCGTGGCGGTGGTGGTGCTGTCCTTTTGCACTTGCTGGTTTCCCTACAATGTTCTCACTTGCTGGAATATCCTTATCCAGTTCGACGTGGTAGACTTAAGTCCGTCTTTCTACTCGGCTCAAACTTACTTTTTCCCTGTGGCAAACTGCTTGGCGTTTGTCAGTAGCTGCTTGAACCCAGTCATCTACTGCCTTGTTCGGAAAGAGTACCGCGTAGCTCTCCAAAAATTCAGTCTTGTGTCACTGATGTCCAAAGTGCCTTATAACGTGCACTCAGAGCCAGGACTGGGACAAGCCGGACCTTTGGCAATTCAATTAACCAACATGTACAGCCATACCACAGACTCTAGGACCTACGAGCCCCTTCTGACTCTGCCCACCACTATGTCGCACATGTAACACCACCAAACACTTGGGTTTTATTACTTACCTTTCAAACCCAAAAAAGACAAATGGGTTCGATCATTAGTTTTCACATGCATGTTTTTTGGCCTCTGTCACAGCTCTCAACCCAAAGGGACTCTAGGCTCTTTCTTACAAGTCTCATAAACTGATTTATGATTAGATAAAGGCAGGGAAATGTGATCTAATTTGTTCACAAAATTTTCTCTTTTACAAGACTCGTTCTTGTGGCACAGACACGTTTTCATTCATGAAGAGGTCAACTCCAAAATCTTCAACTATTCTGAGCTGTTCTGTGCAATATGTGTCAAATCCATGGACTGTAGATAAAGAGTGGACTGACCGAGTGCTGACGTCACCCACAGCGTTTGCCGAATGTGGAAGAGGCTGATTTGAGTATAAGCTAGCTGGGGCCAATGCCCTTATATGGACATTCCCCCACTGTGGGACTAATGAAGGCATTAATTCCACTGAAGGCATCATCATTGGTCAATCTTTATATTAGTCTATGATCTAGATTTTCAAAGAGAATCACCAAGTTCATGGAGAGTGCTGAATCTTAGATTTTTTTTGCCCAAAATGGTGGGTGGGAGTGGGTGTGATGCATCTCAAGAGGCTATTCCTCGTAATAAAGATATGTCAAACAAGCAGTTACTGAGCTAGAGGAGTTTACTTTTCCATGTAAGTCTAGGAGCCATGAGCACTTCATTGGGCTAACGGGTTAGCGTTGTCCATCTGTATACAGTCTGTGGTCCAACCATTTTAATTTGCAGTGGAGACTCCTGGTTTAATCCCATTGCATTAAAACATTTTTGTTTCTGTGTTAAATCTTGAACTTTACTCCATTCCTCTATTGATGTTAGTCATGATATTGTTTTTCTATGTATCTATAAAATTATACAATAACAGGATTAACGTGTGGGTCTGTTCTAAAATATTTTAAGAAATGCAAATTAAAGAGACCACAGAAGGATTATAATTGTAGAATTTATTCCTCTATTTAAATCACTCAGAATCACCTGAAAAATGAATACATTCCCTTTGTTCAAACCAAAATCATATCAATCAAGTACACTGATAATAGTAATCATAAATATAATTACAGGTGCAATCATACCTACAATAAGTACCATTATAAATCAAATTACCAACATGACACATCCACCGTACAACACTGGGGCTGAGGGTATGGCTTTTCCATGGGGCATGGCTTGTTTCAACTCAAATGTCCAGTAAAAAATAAAGAGTTACATCCAGTCGGCCCAATTCAAGTCAGAAACTCTCCAAGTTTAATTGAGACACAGTTGATCAAATGTGCAGAATATTAGCTGCCAGGAACAAAACAGATTCATCCCCAAATGCTATACATCTACTTTATAAACATGAATGTGTTCTAATAAATAGCATCTCAATCTACAAGATAAAATATTCCATTATTAGGTCCATAGATAAGGATTTATAGAATTTATTACACTCAATAAATAGCAATCTATTTTTATATTTATATTAATTTAGTCAATTTTGTGTTAAAAATCTATTTCTACAAGTATGTTATTATCACATCGCAAGTATTGTGGTATATTTTTGTGCTTTTGGGTTTTGAAATATAAAGAAAAAGCTCAAATACTTTTGTGTTTTTACTAACATCATTTGAGTCTGAATACTATGAATGTACAGTAATGGCACTTAAATACTAGAGTAAACAGGACACACTTTAAAATGAAAGTCTTACGTATCTGGAAAGCAGAGATACAGTGATTAAAGTACTATGTATCAAAATAAATAGACGTTCGAGCTTTAGTGATAATCATCTGTGATCCAGAGGTAGGACACTGCATATACACAGCCGCCATTTTGGAGAGGTCCAGGAAACAATAGAACGTTTTTGGGTTTTTTTTCAGATATGACCAGACCAAGCCACACATTTAGAGAAAAGGAGATGGCGGTGTTTAGGATTTGATCAGTGTTATAAATATTAAAGTGAAGGCGAGTTACTTTTGAAATTGACGTGAAGATGGAGAGACGATATCCAAAAGCAAGCAGCCGTTTAGACCCGCCCCCACAGACTCCTGATTGGACGTAATTAATTAAATTCCTTGATAGACTAACTATTCTCCTCCAGCAAATCTCGCTGGTGATGCTTATTCTAAGAGGAGGCACTGTTTTGAATATATCTATAACAAAAAAATAGTAAATGGTAAAAATGTATATAGAAGGATCATCAAGAATATTGGACCTCCCAATTGTCAATCATTCTGGTGATACGTGCTCGTCAAATAAGACCAGAGGTTCATTCGTAAATGTAGGGAAATCCTCCTATATACGTTTAATATAGATGATACCTGCAGCGACATATGGTCAAAAATATGTATTATTTCCCAAATGAGAAAGAATTGAAGTTGCGGACATCACCTTTAACACAACAACAACTGATAATATTGTAATTCGGACCTTTCCAAGATGGCGGCTGATCCCACAATTTGCTCTATAACATGTGAATGGGAGAATGTATCACTTGCTTCCATAAATAAATCCTTTGAGTAATGCGTGGATAATAAATGTATAATATATAGAGATAATAAAATGCAGTCTCTCATGAATCAAATACATGTCAAGATACTGTATTGCGATGCAGGTCAAATAAACACCGAAGCGAGTGCTTAAAACTGCAACCCAGTGTCGTCGAAAGCACTATTTTGGTTACACTTACAGTTGGTGGATATTTGAGATTACGTTTGTGGAAATAAAATGTGCTTTGTGCTTAAATAAAGTAATTTCTCAAAACGCAGTCACTCCTTAGCACTGTAGTAGTTTCTGGATTGCAGCATTAAGAGTGGTAAATATTAAGTTTCACACAACATGCCAGAAGGCCTACCCTTTGATATGAATACATTTACATATAAGAATAGATATACATGAAGGTATTTTACACATTTGTGGTAAACATTGATATCTATTTTCAAATAAATGTATCTTTTTAAAGGCAAAGAGGTTCAAATAAATCAGATTAACCATGATATCTGTAATTAATGATTCGAACATAAACACACTGCTTTTTAGTTCATCACCGGACTACAAAAGACGCGTATTGTACAAATTTTTTACAGCTTGTATTGGCATTGTTATTTCAGGCCACAGACTGTAAGGCAGTCATATCATATGCACATATATATATACTACATGTATGAATACTCCTGCGCTTTTCTCTCCTTGATTCGGTTCATCCGTCAATGTGTCTCCGTCCATACCAGTAATGTAAAAATGTCACTTCAGATAAATAGTCAGCATGGTTAGAAAAGGTGGGCTCCTGTAAAAGAGCCACGTCATCGGTGTAATAATAAGCAGCACCCACCTACCCATGAGAGTCGCTGGAGACGGGCGCTTTCCCATCTCCAGGAACGTCTTATTCAGATGTCACAGCTATTGGACGGATTCAGATTCTTCCAATGAATTGTTGAAACATGGTATTCAATAAAGTCCTTAGCCAAAACGAAAGATGGAACAATGGCTTTAATGATGGTCACCAAAAACTAGATTTGGATTTGTCGACATGTAAAAAACCACTCTCAGTTGTTTTCGACTCTGCAAACTGCTCCAGGCATCTCACTTTTAGATATGCAAATCTGTCTACCCTGATTATCACCCTAATACCCTGTCGTACTACACTTTGAAATCATTGATCGGTTAAAAAATGTGAATCTGAATACAATTATAGAAACTTGTGCCTATTTTTAAATGTTAACAGCGGTTTTAATCAGATAAAATCAGCTTCATTATTATGGTCCAGGCACCTTGCAGTGGTCAGAGAAAATAACTAGAAATGACCAGAATTTGTGAATATGTACTGCCGCCCTCAAAAAAAGTGACTAATTTTGTATTTTTGTGTTTAGTTTGGTGACTTTTGAAATAACGGCATGCAAGTATCTATAAGTTATATAAAAATATGTATTTAAACCAAAACTATACACTTGTTTTTGTTACTTTTTTCCACTTGTTGCGTTGCTCGATGGCTCTCTAATCAGTAACAAGCATGTTGCGTGTCACAGTTTGTGCTTGACTACTCTATTTGTCGGGTGAAAACACAAAATGGCCATGCTATTCTTATCTTACACACATATTGTCCTATATATTGCCATTGGTTACAGTGGCATTGGCTTTTATTTGAGTGAACTCTCATTGGTCCTCGCACAAAAGTGATTGTCAAGTTGTGGTACAGGCATTTTCGAGATGTGCAAAGTCTCTGAAGGATGTGATGGGATGACGCCTTCGGGAGACCCCCCCCTGGACCCTCTGCAGAGCTGGAGTCCTTTACACGCGGGTGACCATCATGTACTCTGGCAGTCAGGATCCATAGCCCTGGCTGATAGACTACAAACACAAAAGCAACAGTCATTAGTGCATTCAGTCAAGTAATATCCACTTTGCATGTTTTTGTTATGATCAAACACAAAGCTACGGTGGAGACGTCAGAATCAAATGGAGAACTTGGAGACGTGCCACGGCCATAATGTTTGTTTCAGGGAGAGAGACTTTCCCTGCAGCAGTGGACCGCTGTTATGAATGCAGCCTTTGGGGGATATTGTCTGTTTGTCTGTAATATTGAAGGCTAGAGACAAAGGAAGCTGAAGACACGGTTGTTTTAAGAAAAGCAAATGTTGTTCTCTGGAGCTATTTCGGCACAAAGATGGCGCCTCTTCACCAGCGTCACAACCCACCGCTCATGAAGCAGCCCTGGAACAAGCTGACGGACTGTGAGTCACGCTCAAGGCTTTTCCATCAATGCACAATACTCTGCTTCTGCTGCTGGTAAATACTTTTATTTTTTTTTAGGCTTCCTTTAGAGAGATAAAATTAGATTTAGAAAAACATGTTCTCTGTCCCCTGAGGCAAAGGGCTGTTTTAACACAACATGATGGGTCAGTGGTGATGTTCATGACAAACTCAGAATCATTTGTGCTGTTGATGTTCCAGGGACTTTTCCACCTTCTTTTGCGATTTACACTTTTTATAAAATCATCCCCAGAAAAACACCAAGAACCACTTTTAAAGGCTCTATAGATTTGGCGGCGTTGGGACAGATGCATTGGATGACACAGAGCGTCTTTCGACCCGACATCACTTTTTGTGAATGAACTTTAGGTTTACAGACTCAGGGTGTGTCCAGACGTCAGACTCAAGTCAACCAGAGTTCCCTTTAAGTCACCCGATTGGGACTGAAGCATGTCTTCACTGATTGGTTCACTTAAAGTGAACTCTGGTTCACTCAGAACTGAAGCATGACCACGCCCTTATGGTAGAGTGGGAATGGTTGTGAAAGCGACTAAAACGTTTTCTATCTGTAACATCGACAACAGAGAAACACGGCCTGCTCTGATCTGAAAGCTGTGAATGTGATAGAAATGATGCGGCTGCTTTGAGAAGATGGTGAAGATATAGACACAGGCACAAACCTGGTCTGTGAGGATTCGAGGCTTAATATCAGGAATGGCACCCACTCTCAGCTCATCCTCCACGGCCATGAGTCTGACAACAGGGAGATACAAAACAAACATACCGGTTGACAAAATTCAAATTACAAAGCCGGCATTTTTAAATTGATATGAAGCCATTTGGTGATATTAAGATCCTGACCTGCTCGTCCACTGAGCTCAATGAATGTGACCCTGTTTCAGACTTTAAATGTGCTGTTTCAGAGAAAATACACATGCTTCATGTTTTCACTGCAATCATTGCATCATTTCAGAAATATTTCCCCAAAAAGTAAAGTAAACTATTTTTATTCTACAGATGTGACTTAACCATAAGTTGTACACGATCGACTTGTTCCTAATATGTAGTTAAATATTTTCCATTTTCATTGAACCCAACAGAGTCCAGGCCCCTGTGGCTCTGGAAGAATCTTGGTAATTGTTCCCATGAACTTTTCAAAAATGATAAACATTTTAACCACAGTTTATAAGACACAACAGACTAGCTTTGTGGAAACTAATGTTCTAGTTTTTTGGGGGACAAAGTATAACTTTATAAAGTTTACAAAGATTAAAAACGGATTCAATCTTTTTTTTTTTCTCAAACATTTCTTCTATAAACAGAAATATATTTTTGCAGCTGAATGATGGATGGAGCAATACCTGAATGTCATCTTCATCATGGGTCCAACACATACATTTCATACATTCATTTGTGTTTTCATTTGAGTGCATTTTGTGAACTTCAAAATGCATTACAAATCCAGTTCAGAGACAAAAATACTCCCATTACTATTATTACAAAAAGTTACAAAACGCAAATCTAAACTGTTCAGGGGCATTCATATTATTTTTGAGAAATAAAAATCTGCAATGAATTAAAGACCAGACAGAAACTCCGCTGCCAAACTGTGGAGCATTCCAGACGAAGCAAAAACACCTCCACGGAGACGAGCAGGCGGCGGACTCATCACCGGGAAAGTTACGTAGCACACCTTTAATTAGCCTCAGCCGCACATACAGAGCAGCGTGTTGTTGAGCGAGTTTGGAAACAGATTATCTTCAACTTTCCGTTCTAGCCGAGCGTTAGCGGAAAGACAGAGGGTGACGCAACAGTGAGCGTGCCGCTGTAACCGCCTGGACGCCACTTACCTGTTGATGATGCCTTTGATTTGTGAGTCCTTCTCCACCTGCTGCTGTTTGAGGCGCCGCTCGCTGTCCTCCAGCCGGTTCTGGTACTGCATCAGGATTTTGCTGGTCTGCTGCTCTTGGGACATCAGGCGCTGCTCGTACTCCTCCAGCTTTCGATGCGACATCTTCAGCCGCTCCTTCAGAGAGTGGATTTCTTCTTCGTATTCTTTTACCTGCAAAGAGAGTGAGAGGAGAAAGGGCAGAGAATAAAAACAAGGTTGTACTTTCTGAAATGGTGCTTTCTGTTGTCTTTACTGGTCAAGAGGGGCTGTTCTTATGACAGGTTTTCTCTCTTTATTGATCAAATGTGCTCTCAAATGTTATACCCCCTGAATTAGAAACTAAGCCATCACAAAACATCTGTAATCAAACTGAGATTAGAAAACCCTCTGGTCAACAATCAGTATCAGATGTATTATCACTGTTATCTGTATTCTCCTGTATGTTTGTCACTTTATGATTGTGAATAAAAAAAATTAAAAACTAAACTAAACTAAACAAAATAAAGAAAACACTACTTAATAATTATACATGTAGATAATCCCTAATCAGGAGACTTCTAAAGGAAACTGTAGCACTCTGGAAAAAGAGGCTGAATACTTTTACAACTATTACATTTAAAAACACTTTTTTCAAAGCACATGTATGAATTAATTTCAAACTTGTGCACATTATAGCTGCAACAATCTAATCGATTGATTGAAAACAAATATTATTTGAATAATTAAAAATATATTTTTTAACAATGACTTATTAAATAATAGTTTTAACCGTACCTAGACCAACACATTCTAAGAAGAACTATAACTACTACGGAATAAGTCTTTAAGTATTAGTAAAGTTGTAATGTGTATTTGGTGGTAAAGTTTTTTTTTTTTTACTTTATTGTCCCCTTAGAGAAATGTGTCCTCTGCATTTGACCCATGCTGACGCCTCTAGGGCCTCAGTCAGGAACTTTCCCAGCAGTTGAGGCTCGGCTTGGTCAGGATCAGAGCAGGAGGATGTTCCCCTTGTTCATGCTTTTAGTGGCACCCAGAGGAAACCTCCACAGACATGGGGAGAACATGCAAACTCCAATCAGAAAGACCCTGTTCCGGGATTCAAACCCAGGACCTTCTTGCTGAGGAGTGAGAGGGATCAAGTTCTTTCAAATCAAACGTGCATCACGTTACATCTAGTTTCTCTGAAGATGTTCTTGAGTGACACACTTTAGACACATTTGTTTAAAAAAACCTTATATTATGGATTTAAACAACTAATAGATTAATCGAAATAATATTCGCCCAACTAACAAATGAGTCGGCTCTTGTGCACGGACATTCAATGAGTATGACGTTATAGCAACAACATGACACTCGTGCATTGACATCCACAGAAAGATTTCACAATTTCATTAGTTTATTTGCAGCTCGCCCGTACACAGAGTGAGAGCTACACCCAGCGCTAATGGATCTTTCTCCAACTTGAAACACTCTATTCCATTTCAAAAACATTTCTTTAAAGATGTGTTTGTCTAATAATATTCCTAAATCCTGTATCGCAGCATCCAGGATTATATTAAAAGCAAATGATTAGAGGGGATGCATTTGGATACACATTTTGAGAACATATAATCTCTAGTATTTTATTTTTTTTCCGGGGCGGGAGAGTGGGAGGATAAGAGGACATGTACGAACCCGCTCCAGCCGTGACTCGTCCATACTTTTGGAGTACTCCTTCAGCTGTCCCTCCCGGTCCGGCCTCAGGCTCTCGATGTCCGCAGACAGGTGGGGCATGTTGGACACCCAGGCCACGGTACGCTCATTCATGGTGGTCAAATTAGACTGAGATCCCTGCAATTACAAATATAAGAGCATAGCTTATTACAAGAAAGGCCTTTGTCTGGTTAATAATGGGCTTGGAGCGTGTGGAGGAGGTCAAGCTGCAAAAGAGGCAAAAGTCAAATGGTTTCAAGTGTGGGTGAATAGGGCACTTAAACATACTGTACAGAGATCCGCACACGCTTGGAAGATGGAGGAAGAGATACGAAATAAATGGGACCGGTTTTGTTATACCATAGTGTTTCGCACAAAAAAAGAGATCCCAATTCTCACACACAAACATATTTGAACGGCCTCAAACAGATGTACTTCCTCTCATCCCTATTGGGGGGTTTCAGCTTTATAGTTGGAGAAGAAATATATTATGCGCTGGCTTTGACGTTTGCAAAGTCAGTCTTAGGTGATGCATAAATTACATGAGAGAATATGTATAGTTTTATGTTAATTAGATTCCCATATCAAGTTGAAATATTGATTATGACGTTTGTTTTTCACCGCGGGGGAAAAGAACATGACGCCTGGTCTCAGCCACGGCCTGTAAGTCTTGACGTTGGGATGAGTTTGCATACATTTGGGTCGGCTTGAGTTGTGTACTCTGGTTTGACCTTACTGACAGCCAAACACCAGGCAATAGCAAAGATTGAGAGTTGAAAATTCAAAACTCAAAAAGAGGGAATGGATTTGTATGGACGGTAGAAATCAAGACATGTTCTTTTTCTTAAATGGGAATTGGTTTTCAAACCTTTTGCCTGATTAAATACAGGCTACATTTGCTCACCTGTTGTATATCAGCATTTTTCCCCAAAATTACCATATATAAATTGGCTCAATGTCAAAATATTGAGGTACACATATGTAAACTTATGAAAACTTTGTATCATACTAAGCGTGTACAGACTTGCACATCAGAGCCCAAATACGAGCCTTCGAATAATAATAATGATATTAAGAACAATTTTAATGATCAATTGTTTTTTATATTGTTATACATTGTTTTTTGACACTCAAAGACGCTTCATCTTATCCAGCCCACAGACCATGCATGTACAAATACTGTATATACACTTTCTGCTGTTTACTGAAATATGCTATGGTTGTATAGTCTACTTTAATTCTGGGTTAATTATGGCACAAATCTAGTAAGTCTAGAAAAATCACAAAAATACAGCAAAGAAAGTCCTTTAAAAGTGGTTGTGGTGGACAAACGTCACTTCGTCTTCGTCACTTTATAATCTCACACCGTTTGTCACTTATCGATAATCTGCACTGTTAAATGTCTATCCTGTTAATGTATATATCAGAATTTGATGAAGATTTGTTGAATGCATGCCTTTACCTTTTTGATTTAACTTTTTAATCATAACTTGTTTGCACCATATGATAAAGTAAATTCCTACTGTTACTTACAATGTTTTGACTCTGATGTATTTGACCCAGACCCACAAACCTCCCGGTGTGTCGTGTGAGGAGGCGGACTGACACTTGCCTGTTTGCCTGAGAGCGGTTTCAGCAGATGCGGTTGCGGAGCCTGCAGTTGTGCCGCCTGAGACTTCTTGGTGCTTTTGGTGGGGGTGTCGGTGGACTCCTCTGCGGCCGCTGGGGGTCCCTGGGGCTCTTTGGCCGAGCTGTTCTGATATGGAAGTCCGGGCGCAGGGCTGTCAGTCACCGTCACTGGCCCGTCCTGCTGCGGCTGAGGGGGCGGAGCTTGTTGCTGCGTCTGTTGGGACGACACCTGGCTGTGGCGCGTCCGGGGACCGCTCCCGCTGAAGCTGGGCTCGCTGGAGTCCAGGAGGATGTTGCGGCTCTGGGGGCGGGTCTTGGGTGGCGTTGCGGTGGCGGGGTTGTTGATGGAGCGCTGAGATTTGAGGTGCTGGGCGAGAGAGGACTGTCGGGACGGGTGCACCGTGGTGGGGGGCGTGGCCAAAGAGGCAGGGGTGCCTGTGCCCGTCGGCGTCTGCGAGGTGAGGCCCATCAGATGCTGCTGCTGTAGAGACTCCTGAAACAAAACAAACAAAATACACGTTACAATAGTGTATACAAAATATACATTTATACTTGTCTGTCATTGTTTTGGCCATATTTCAGAGATTATAATAAAAATAATTACAATGCTTTACAAAAACAATGGTTTTATACAGCACTTATCAGGACACTCAAAGGCGCTTCACATGTTATTATTCTTTTAATTCAAACACAGTGGTGATAAACTACTATTGTAGCCACAGCTGCCCTGGGGCACACTGACAGAAGCGACGCAACAAATCTGTGCCATCGACCCTTCCGACCAGCACCAACCATTCAGAGACACATACCAGACTCATTCTAATGTGGGTGAAGAGTCTTGCCCAAGGACACAACAGCAATATGGCACTTAACAGCCACAGCCGCACCACTGTGGCACCTGGTCTCCCATCACAGTACTAACCAGGCCCTGCCCTGCACAGCTTCAGAGGTCTGACAGGATCAGGCTTTCACGTGCAAATATGTCCACTTTTTCATACAATGTTAGTGGTGAAGCTGTCTATTGTCAAATGTATGTGTTTTCTATTTTCTAAAAGTCATAAGTTTGATTTATGAAGGACACTGTGCGGTTGCATTAAAAAGATGGCGGCACCTGTAGTCATAAAACATTACTGAGGCGCTCTGGGGAGATCTCAAACGTGCAGCTCATGCAAGGCGGAACAAGAATGTACAGAAACTTCGGAAGACGGTTTTTGCCAAGAAGAATAGGCAATAAAAATCCTCATCTAAAGATACCAAAAAAGACTTAAAACTGTCATAGATTTTTAAGTGGAAATTTTCGCTACCTGTAAACTTCTGATCAGCGTCTTCTGAATACTTTCTGTTGTTATTATAATGTGGAAGAAAAAACACATTCCAATAAATGCCTTCACACAACCACAAGCAATGAGCGGAAAAATATGTTTACATTATCATTCATAATCTACAAAACAATAGACAAACAATGTCTTCCTGGGTTTCAATCATAACTGCAAAGACGATTGCTAAAACATTCATTAAAAGTTGATCATGTGTAATCCCAGCCGCTTCAATTATTCAACAAAATCAAATCTGTACGAAAGATTATCAAAGACACAATAATCTGTGTAATCCCTCGTTCGTCCATGAGTGATCCATCGGAGAGCAAGCTTCAAAATGATCTGGATCTGACAGAAAGATCAGACACTTCTCTGCATTGAAACAGTTTGAAACTTGCTCTGTGACGATTCGAAAATAATTATGATTATAACCATAAGATGTAAGATATGCCTTGGATAGACATGCACTTGGGGCGGCATTTGGCGATATCGATTTCTCATTAATATTTGATAAAAGCATAATCAAAGGCAAAACTGAGAAGATGAGAAGCCGATTTTTTCCCAAAAGCCACAAAACTATTAAAAAAAGCTGAGAATCTGTTCGTATTGAATGCTGTGTGTGCTATGATGCATCTACTGCAGCGTACATACAACTTTCACTGCATAGAATGTGTTTGTGACAATAACAAACTTGAAACTTGACGCATTTGTTTTAAAAGGAAAACATTAACCTTTTTCTCAACCATTTGCTGGATTTCTTTTTGAGTAACTTAATCTACTTGAAGCTTGGAACTGAAATCTACCTCATTGGGGCGTCTCTGTATCACTTGGTTATAGGCACTTTTACCATCAAGCTGCATCTCAACTGTTTTGTAGAGGCCTTAAATAAAAAATAAAAACTGGGTTGAAAAAAAATGACATTGCTTTCTTCAAGGTTAGCATTAACCTTAAAGGTAACATTAAAGGTTTAACACAGTTTCCATATTTGTACAGAAAGTAAAACTAAATGCAGCTGGACTTAAAATACTAAATTTCATATCCGATTCTGAATGAGTTATGATGATAATTGAAAGAACCTGACCTAGTTTCAGATGTTGCGTTGGTAAATCACAGAGTAGCAAGTTGAGTCAATGTGTGTCAGAAATGAACCCCTTTATAAAACAATTCAACAACCGTACGCCTTTATGATCAAAGCCATGTCATTTCCCACGTATACACGCAGTAGGAGCAGAGTTAAAAGCTGTCCTAAAAGAGGCTGCATTAAGAAGAGGCCTGTGATGTTTGTTCCATTATGGCCCACGCAGCGGACAGAAATAACTCTACAAGACAGTGTCATTAAACACTGTCATTTACACAAACCGTAGTAAAGCACCGGAGACTCCAGCCCCGACTCGACGCAGTGAATTAGTCCATTTCCTAAAGAAGGCGATATGGGATGTGAGGATCAGCTGCAGTGGATCTAAGAAAGATTATTAACAGGTTCATAGTTTAATCTGCAGGACTGACAACAGCACTTTGTCCTGGATTTGCACTGCACTGTATCTTTTACTTTTATTCATTCTGTGAAATGTGTTGCGCTGTGGGGAAAAGCTCAACCAGGGACAGGAGTTGAAAAATTAGCATTAGCTTTAGAGTCTGTATGTGTCGTATCTGCTGCATCTTTCCTACTGTAACTATGTATGACTACAGAGTTCCTGTCAAAGAAATAAATTAAATACATTTAACAAAGAGCTGGTTTTCATTGAACTCGGTGGACGCAGTTTTGAACCTGCATGAATGAAGGATGCAGTCGGTGACAGAAACCTGATTTCTAAAGTCCGTGTTAAGTTTGTGTTAAAAAAGAATTCTATGTTGAGGAGAAAAGTAGAAGGAAGCGAGAATTACTCAATGCTCAATGCTGTACAAATGTAGGATGTACCGAATGTACCAAAATAAATAAATAATTCTTCTAAATGAAAAAAATATATATATATAAATAGTCTTGTTCTTGTCAAGATTGGTTTAGCTGATCAAAGTGGAAAACAAAATTCATAATAGTTTCAGTCACACTGAATAAATACAGTTTCACATTGTTTACTTATTCATCAATATGTATTTATTTATTCTACATTTAGTCAGAGTTCATTGAATAAATGTAATCCTTGGTTCTTCCATTATGTAAAGTTTCTTTGAGAATTCACTGTGACACAATTAAGTCCCAAATAACTCTCATGATGTCTGTAGCCAGGGAGAAGGCAGCTGTTACATAACAGAGAGTGGGCTGTAAATAGACAACAATTAAGCATTTGTCCACCCGGTGGTGCTATGTGAGACGCGGAGCTCTGAGGAACTCAAATGAGGGATTATTCCTCAGTGAAATGTTTTCCAGAAACACAAATATAATGATTGCAGTGAGAGATGAACTGAGGAACAATAAGTCTCTTGTGTTTTATAACAAAAATTGCCTGATTACCAAATAAAATACCACACTATGTTCCCTTGATTTTAATAAACATAGAATAGTACTCAACCATATTAGTATCATTCTCGTACATGTATTTAGTTATTTGTTAGTTATTAGTCAGATGGGAATGAGAGTGGACTGACTAAAGTCCATTCAGAATTCTATATTTTTTTTACATTGAACGTGATGCTCAGTGAAAATGTGGTGCTTCTCATGTGTAAATGGACTGAGGCTTTCAGTCCCTGTCGACATGGTGCACAGGTGTTAATGAAAGCACATGACGGCGTATTACTGCGGCTCGTACCTGCACCTGCAGCGACAGCTGGTGCCAGCCGTAGTCGTTGTTCTGGTTCTGTCGGGTGAAGTCGTCGCTGTAGCTGTGCGAGTGCACGATGCTCGGCTGCACCAGGCTGTTCTGGGAGCGCAGCGCTGACAGATCCTCGCTGCGGGAGAAGGCGCTGTTGCCAAAAGCCGGCGCGTAGTCGTGGTGACCGTTCTCTGCCTCCGGGGCGAGGAGCAAAGGGGGCGGGGCCTGGGACTGGGCGGGTGAGTTCTGAGCTGCCAGATGGAACAGAGGGTTTTGGAAAGACAGGGGGAAGTTCATAGCCGCGGCGGCCTGCTGCTGTTGCTGGGACAGGGACTCGGTGGGACCTCCTATGTGTCCCATCTGGCTCAGGCGCAGAGCAGAGCCGGCCACACCGCCACCCAGGTGACCACCCATCCTCAGGGGGGCGCCCAGGTTCCCAAAGCTGTGGCCCAGGCCAGCAATAGAGGCCTGTGAGGAGGTGAGCATTTCTCCCACTGAGTTCAGGTTTGAGATGCTGTTCATGCGTGAGTCCTGCAGGTCCATCATCGAAACACTCTTGTTCACACTGTGCACCTGGACACAGAGCACAACATGCATCACACTCACTCTCTACATCACGGTTATATCTTTGGACATCATTTAGACTACACACTGGACTAGACTGGAAGCATAAGAGGTCAGAAAAGAGAGTAACTTCATAGATTATTTATCATCTAAGTTGACTTTCTGGTACAAAGCGTCTGACTAAGATTGTGCTCAGACTCTAAATCTTCTCCTAAAACACTGTCTCAAAAACGCAGCACACCACAGGCTTCAGTAAATGACTTTTCACAGTTTCAATGTATTTGTTTACAATGAGCCAAGATGCATGTTTTATTCTTACATAAATGTGTCTCAGTGGTTTGGAAAGCGCTGACTCTGACACACAAAAACATCTCATTTCCCACTTTGTCGAGGTTCCACTGTTTTCTCCAGACAGCAATAGAGGGCGATACATGTCTCAAAACGTGGCTTGTTAAGAAATAAAATCGAAAGGCAAAAGTTAAAAAGCTGCCAGATATTTGTTGAAAATGTGTGCAGCAAAGCCAAAGCAAATTTGGCTTTGTAGAGAAATTATGTAGAGAACCCTGACGTTTCCAAGCATTACCTGAATTAATTGAAGCATAGTAATATAGCTTTGTCAGAAGGAAAAGGATTTTGTTTGTGTTTGTGTTAAGAATATGGCTTTATTTTATGAATCAAATTGTGCTGATGTCGAGAGAAAAAGTAAACCTGCATACTTTTAAATAAATATCTAATTACAATTTCATTTGCAATTTCTGTTATGGAGATAGGACAATGCTCAAAGTGCCAAAAATTAAACCAGAAAAAAGGCTTGAAATCATATTTTTCCCTTAATAATCCCCTGTGCTTAAAACTAATACAGATAAGACTTTTTTATCTGCTAATGGAAAAGGCAACTTCAGTCCACCTTATTTAAACGGTATTGTATTTTTGGACATTTGCACTGATCCTATAGTTCTTATCCAGTTCTCGAGCTTTACACGTGGATAGCAGGATTGTTGAAAATAAAAAAGATAATTTACTGTTTGTAAAGGAAATAATGTTGTATGTAATAATTGTGATTTTCTAATTGCAGCCATTAAAATTGCCCTTGATGGCGCAGCCCTAATGAGCCGTGTATGGAGTGCATGGATGGGCACCTTGGGGTCTGGTTCAGTGATGTCGGAGCTGCTGGTGCAATAGGCCGGGCTGGAGCGGGCCAGGGGGGGCCGCGTGACATAGAACACCTCCCGGGACGAGCGCAGGTCCCGTTCAGCGTGACGCCTCATGTTCAGGTTATTGGACAGAGACTCCACGGCCGACACTCCGCCCGGGGGAGATGGCAAACGAGAGATGTCTATTGAGCTGTGAAAACAAACAAACCAAGTGTACAGTGCGTCCGTACAATAAAGCTTTGGGCTTGAAGCAAAGACATTGTTAATAATTGATTCTTCCTGTCGCTTAAGGTTGCAAATGTGAAATAGGGCTGGCAAAAGTTCATGAAGGAGGCTACAAGCACCAATACCAAGGATCCAAGTCTGAATAGTACTCTGCATAAATAACTGCCTACACATTTTTGCTCTTAAACCTGGAGTGCATACATTTCAAACCACAAAGAGCTACGAGAATGAATGAAGCCTTTATTCAGGACTCAGGATTTATTAGGGCTGTCAAAATAATTAATTGTAAAAAAAAATGCATTAATCGCGTGAACGAAATTAACGTTTTTAACGCCCATACATCCAATAATAACACTCAGAATGCCGCAGACACATGCGTGTGTGAGATGGCGACAGAGCAGGTCTCTGGGAATTCAAGTTAAAAAAGAATAGGCGAATGACCGCGGCGCACTTGCTGTGGTTTGATATGCACTGAACGGAAGTTTGCATCCTCCATGGACGCAGCAAACGGGGCCGCCTTAACGTGAAAGACCATCCACACACGCACACAACTATTCTCTGCTTGTTGTGTGCTTTGTGTAACTTGTGCGTAATACACCTCTGAAGCTGAACTATGGAGTCAGGAAGTGTCCGTGTCTCCTCCTGCTTCGAAACTATACACGCTAAATTAAAGCTGGGGTACCTAGTTTTTCCACAGCCTTTATGAGACAGAAAAAACAAAGAATAAGGAGGTTTTAGCTGAAGCGGAATACATCGAGCTGAAAAAATACCGTCTACTACAGAAAGACAGAATGTTAATAATGTTAATGCCATTGTATGTGGATTTATTGTTATAATAAACAAATACAGTACATATGTACACTATGTTGTCATTAATCTGTCCATTCAAGCAATAATTTACAGAAAAATATGGAATCATTTTGCAGGTAGTTCGATATCTGATTAATTACGATTCATTTTTAAGATGTAATTAACTATTAAAAATGTTAATTGTTTGACAGCCCTAGTATTTACGTATGTATGAAATTATCCTATTTACTGTGTGCCAAATGTCAGATGTACATTTCTAAAAGATCAATAAAGTCTTATCTTATAATCATTTTTATTAAGATAAGATTCATGTATTTTTGGCCTTTGTCACATCTTTACAAAAAGAAAGGACCAGTCACAATCAACTCTCAGCCCAAAGCGTCAAATAATGACTCACAGGGCAATTTCTTCCAAAAGTGCAAAGGAAAAGATGTCTTCTAATAAGCTACGGTCTGCATGTTGTGACCTAATTTGTTCGCAACATTGTAATCATAGCAGACTCTTTCAGTTTGTAAAAATGAAATGTAGTATTTGTGAATAATAGAAAGTTAGATACCCCAGATTCAAATGAGGCATCTTCAGTTTTGCGAGTATAGACCTTGTGTGAGCGCAGAATAGCATACAAACAATTCTCACAAAGAAACTGCACCCGGCTCTTTTTGATCACAGTTTTTGCCGTTTTGTCCAAGCAGATTCAAACCTTGAGTGTTATGCAATTGTTATGCAATATCACATCTGAAAAGCCAGAAGACAGAAGATGTGATGCCGCTCTGTCAATCACTGAAGTCAAGTGTAATTCTTAATGTCGCTTTTGTTGAATGTTCTCTATTTGCTTTATCGCGGTGGCGTTTGCAGTCAGAGAGAAGGTTTATGGGATATCAAAGTGACATAGAAAACCAAAAATAATTCACTGTGGTTGCAACTATCTCTTGACAATAACAGAGCAAACGCACTAGTAAATTGACACACGGAGGAAGAGAGCTTGGAACAGATGGTGCTGGCAATTACTATTAGATAGAAGACGATTAGGGAACTCATGAGACTGGTTTTCATTTTGTGCAAACGAAATTAATCACCCCCATCCCTTCTTACACAGACCAACTATTATTATGACCACCGCTACAATGTGATTATAATATCATGTGTGTATGAATACATCCAGCATAAGCAAAAAGAGGCACTATTCTCTGGGGATGTGTTGAATTGAGCTTTCTGTCTCTGTTTACCATTCAGTATTAAATATCATTTCTAGTTCAATCTGGAAAGGGATGAGAACTATGTTTATTGAGTCGTATTTGCCTGAAGTATATTAATATATGAATTATAGCACGGAAAGACATGCCAGAAAAAGTAGTCAGTATATTCATAACATTTCATACATTAAAGATTGTATGCTTTTGAAATGGCTCTTAATCTTATTCTTCGACCCTGGCAGAAATAACGCATGACATATACTGTACAAGAAGGAACTGAAGAGAGATTATGAGAGTGAAAGTCCCCTGGGGTCTAAAACCTATTGCTGGGGGAAGGGATTATCTCTCGATCAACATGGTCAAGGGGAGGAGGCGGGTTGTTGCATGAGCAGAGGCTAAGAGGGGGTTTGAAGGCGCGGATGTGCAGCAGTGGGAGGATTCAAGTGAAACAGGCGGGATCATGAACGCAGAAGATCTTCTAGTCTGAACTTTTCTACGTTAGAACACAGACACAATACACGCTCACAACTGCCCAACGCATCAACCACTTTTGACCAATACAGAGCAACCCATTTAAAAAGAAAATATGAAAATAAACAATATGTAGAACCTTTTTTTATCCAAAACCACCTGTACAATGCACTCTAAAAAGTTCCCAGATGAAAAATACATTTTTTTCTTTATAAGACTTTTTTCATCAGACATAACAGTTATTCTATTGTATGTATTATGTGAATTTTCTGTGATTTCAATGGAAACTTTTGATGCTGTAAAAGGTTCTGTAAAAGACTGATTGATTGAAATGTTGAGTATTTATTCACATTCATAGTGTCTTTTTTTCAGATACCTGTTTAGATCTCTCATCATGAGGCTTTGGAAGTCGGACGACATGATGCGGTTGAAGGACGGCCTGGAGAAGAGGCGGTCGTTGGGCCTCTCTGGTTGGTGATTGGTCGGCATGTGGAGCTGCGGGTTCCTCAGAGCGACGCTGATGTCGTTCAGTAGCCGCGGTAACGGCCCCAGTTTAAGAATAGCGTCCTGTGAGAACAAGGAAGTCAGGTTCATTTGTCTGTCAAACTATAAAAAGTCTTTATCCAAACAAAGAGAAACATCAGCTGCCGACCTACTTTTGCTGAAACTTTTGTTAATTAGTGTCAGAGAACAACAGAAGTTGACTGGAGCTGGGTAATTACATGTTTTGAGCTTTTGCTGAAAGCTATTTTAATGTATATCTTGTGCTTTTGTTTGTTATTGTATTTGATTGAAAATAGTACAGTAAACTCAAAGCACTCAATTAATCTATTTTGAAAGCAATTATCTACAAAACAAAAAACAGCAAGTTTATTTTTTGCTTCTTAAAAATGAAATGAATTTGGTTCTGGGTTTATATATCTGCTCATATGTGATCCATAAAGTGTTCGACTTAGTGTAGAGACCTATCTATACGTATGGAGTAAGCAGGAGTGATTGGCAGATTAAGCCCCGTAACACACCAAGGCTTTTTTGCCAGATTGTTTCAAATGTGTCAGAGCCTCTGAGCTAGCTCATACTAGCCTGTAACACTGACACCTAGTGGACAGGTCTAAGCATTACAGCTTCTTGAGTGCACAGTAAGCACCACCCCGCATTTGAATAATAATGACTATTTTACCGCGAATAATAAATGGTAGATGCTGATGGGACATTTCCTTGTTAGGTTGAATAGAATGATCCCAAACCATGCCTCTCCGTTTTCCACTTGCAGATGCAGTTAAAGTCGCCAAATTCACCAACACAGTTCCTACCTTGCTGAGCTGCCCCATGACCTCCCAGAGTAAGCTGTGCAGCATGGACAGCTCCCGGCCTAGGTCGATGTAGCCCTCGAAGCCCCCTGCATTTCCCCCGGTGTCCAGGTTTGAGATCTCGTACAGAAACTGCTGCATCGAGCCCCACTCCATCTCCAAGAACTCATTCATAAAATACATGTACTCCTCTTTAGGACCAAACCTGAGGAATAAAGATTAAGGTCATGTTAGGAGGCCACAAGAAAACTGTTTCGTTCAATAAAAGAATTAAGGCACATGCTATTAAAGGTCCTTTAATAGCATCAATACAATGAATACCGAATCTAGTTTTGGGGATAAGCCACAGGACTACTAATAATAGACTTTTTAGGTAAATTAATGCGTTTAGAGAACATTTAAGGGCCCACTAAGGGGAAACTTGGGAAATCTTATAACAATAGAAAATTTGAGCACAAATTACAGTATTTTTCTGACATTTGTCATATATTTTTTAATAAAATAAGAGAAGCTTTATCTATTTCACAGTGGGGAAATGTTAGCAATGTTTATATGTAAGTACTCATAAACTTCAGATTCAAAAAGCTTTATTGTCTGTTTATAAAAATAGCTACTCAAAGTTTAGTAACAAAAGTGTAGAAAAGTGCACTATACAAAAGATTAGCAATTAGGGCTGTAAACTTGTAGCAACAACAATAGCCATGACTAATATTTATACAAGGAGCAGCATATGGATAAGAATAAATAGAAGACAAAATGCAGAGACCCAAAGAGTTATCAGTGAAGACATCATGATAAAGCACTGCATTAAGATAAAATTTGTATATCAGGCTGCTTCAGATTCTTTTTTTTCCCTGAAAGCTGCGTCATATTTAAATATCACATCAAGTCAGACGGAAAACTTTTTGTGACAGCATCCATCCGTCTGAGTCTATAAATACGGGATGATGCGGTTTGTGACTCACTTGTTGAAGCTGGCCAGGTTCTGTGTGACTTTGGCGATGAGTGTCAGTGTGCGGGACGTGCGCTCGGCGGGGTACTCCTGCATCAGATTGAAGAGCGAGGGGGACATGATGGCAGGACACATGAAGCGCAGGAACAGGGAGGAACTGATGAGGCTGTCAGCCAGATCCTCCCGGCCGCGCTCCGCACATCTGGCTCTCCACGACGCAAACACTTCTTTCAACTCCCGCGGAAAAATGCTGAAATACAAGACAGCTGTGTGAGACAGGCAACCGCTAATCTACCGCGACGCTTTGCAAAAGTTGTTTTTTTTTAACAAGGGGGTGGTATTATTCATGTATCATACCAGGGTTTTCTCAACTGGGGGTACGCAGAGCCCGAGGCGGTATTTGAAATGATTTTCATGTATTTTTTTTTTTTATTATTAGATTGCAAATATTGATAGTAAGAGGGTTAGGGTTGCTAATTGTTTCAAGGCATCAACCATACAAAGCATTTTATTATGAACTTTGAACCCATAATGCAATTCATAATAATAATACTTGGCCTATCAGTCTGCTATAACAAGTTTTTCTTACTTTTCCACCTGTTTTGGTTCTAGAATTCCAATTTCATGGAAAATCAGAAAACCCTACACAGACACTAGGAGTCTGAGCACATGTTGACTATAATATTTTATAATTTAGTGAGTCAATATACAGGAAATAAGCGATAATTTTTCATTAATCAAGCTGCAGTTTGTAAGTCAAATCTGAGCAATGTTTTTAAAAAGTGTAGGAATAGAAAAACATGCAAAAACTATATATATTGTATGGGTCTTGATAGACAAATAATAATTTGTGTACTGTATAGTCATTTCTCAGAGAGCAAGTCCAAAACAAGCCGTGCAGTAGCATCTGGAAATGGGAAGCCAAAAAATAAATACAAAAAATACGGAACTAAAACTGAAACTCAAATAACCCGACACAAACCATGACAATTAGTGTGTATGACAGCCGGACGCATCCACACGAGGTCAGAACACACCAGTAGCATATGCAAAACCACTGGACCGTGTTCTCCTCAGGATAAAGACTCACTCATCCTTCTGCTGTCCGTGAATTTGTTTGCTTCTATACGTCGGCGAAGCGGTAATTAGAAAACTCTTTAGAAAGCTGTTTGTGCACACAGCGCCCGGGGGAGCAGACTCACCAGAGCGAGTTGATGATTTTGCAGAGGAGCAGCTCACAGCACATGCGCAGGTTTGCCTGGTGGTCTGCCAGGACGGACGGGGGGACGCGCATCGGGTCCACCTCGCAGTTCTCCTCTGACTCGTACAAGGCGCGAATGAAGTCACCTGAAGTCACACAAACACACACACAAACACACACGGCTTAGGGCTGCACAGGATTCGCTCAAATATGTCATCTTTATTATTTGTTGCTTCATAATTACATTTGAGATTCAAAAAGTATATTGTTTGGAGAGAGGGAGAGATTTCATTGCGGTCAATCAGGAAGCTGTGGGGGCGGGTCTAAAAAATAATGCCTTGAAAAGTAACTTCACTTTAAAGGGGCATAACTTTACTTTCAGGGTAGAGGGCCTGATTTTTACTTATTCAAAATGTTGTATTATCTAAATGTTGTTTCAAATACAGTTAATACTAAAATAAATCCCGTGAATCCCGCAAATGGCGCCGTGGCATGCTCTGCCAAAACAATTTCCAAGTGGTGACTTTTGTTACTTACGTGGCAATAAAAATGATTCTGATTCTGAATTTCAGAACATGATTCAAGAGGTTTAAACAACAGAAGATTTTTTGAAACACTGCAAAAGATTAGGTGAAAATCTTCGTGATCTCAGTACATATTGTCAGCTTTAAAACAAGATTTGGGACGTGCAAAGAGACTTTTAAACAAGACACTCTTGCTCGTCCCATTGACAAATCTTTTTTAAAAACTCAAATTGGAAATACAGATTCCAATTCATTTATTTGCCATTTGCAGTAAAACCACATTGGAAAAACTGTACAAGACTACCCCAGTGTGCAGGGCTGGACTGGGACAAAAAAACTGCATTTTTTCCTTCTTAGCGGCCCAGGCAACTCAAAAGGTTCAAGGAGCCATATTTGACAAAAGAAACTAAAGACAACATCTGTCTGGAGCCGCAAAAAATACAAAACAGCGTTGTATAAGGCTTAATTATGTGAAGGTAACAGGGGCTGAAGCTGTATTAGCTACATTAGCTATATTAGCTATATTAGCTATATTAGCCTAATATCTAAATGACAAAGTAAAGGCTACAAACACATAAAAACCATTCATGATTATCAAATGTATATTTTCATTGCTTTTCTTTCACTGTCTTTGCGAAGGTATTTGAAGTCTGAAAATAGGTGCTCTGACTTTATGATGAATGAATCTTTCAGTGAACGGTGTTTAAAGCTTCATTGTTCCTCCTGTTGCAACAAAACTTTTCATTACATCTCAAACATGAAGCAGTCCTTCCTCATTGACTGAAAGCAAATGTTCATTCTCATTCTTAGTCCAGTCTTATCATCGACTCTCTCTCTTTATCTTTGGGATCCATGCGCACACACAGTTAAAATTGAATATTACTTATACAAGTTTTTGCAGCATTAAAACGTGAAGAATGTTTTTCCTCCTGCAGAAACCACATTCAAACTAGAAATAAAATATAGCCCTCACACTCCATTTTCAGACATTTTTGAAAAGGCTCCAAGGAGCCACTTTAGGGGCACTAAAGGTTGCCGACCCCTGGTTTATACAGTATGGGGAAGCAAATACTGTAGAGGACCAGGATGTCTGCGGTTTCAAAAATAAAATAAAGTACAATAGTCTACATTAAACAGAGTAATAAACATGTCTCAGAGTGAGGGAGGTGGGCACAGACAACACTATTGTTTGTTACAGGGATGAGAATTGGTAAACATTTCTGAAATGCATATTGTCAGCCATTAGCTGGCTCTAAATCTGTTTAATCTGTTCAAAACATTTTACTTTTGGGCTCAAACATGAACGTTTGATGCAATGGAAAATGTAGGTACCCGAGCTTTAATTTAGAGGAGAGGGGAGACGCGGACTGTTTTCTGCAGCGGTGTATTTATTGGGTGCACAAATTACGAAAAGACACGCATGGTTCTGTGCGCGTTTATGGTCTTGGGTACATGGTCACGTTGCGGCTACGCGCTCACCGTGTTGTGTTGTGAGCGGTTCCCGGTGAGCGGCTCCTGCGTCCAGCTCAGAGCCGCTGGATGCGGGAACACTGCGGCCGCTGAGGTGGCGGAATCCCGTTCGAGTACATACAGCAGGTGCCCCGCTGACACGCGCGCTCCCCTCAAACATTTCTCAACGGATTTACACTTTTCACAAACATGTTTTTTGTATGAGGCAGACAGACCGGCCCAAATATGGGCATCGGCCCTTCGGGCATTGCCCGGTACGCCCGATGGCCAGTCCAGCCCTGCCAGTGTGCCCCAGACAGAGAGGATGGCACATACCAAAGCTCTTGCCACGGCGCCATCTTTACGGCGCCATGCGAAATGAAAAAAAATATTTTTTTATTTTTATTTTCAGTTCTAATGCATTCTGCTTGAGTAATTTGTGCCACATTGAAAGGACAAAATTGGTGTTAAATAAATATATTTGGCTACAACTGTCAACTAGAGCTGATCCATTTTGCGTTTGTCAAGCAACGAGCTATAAATAGATGACAAAAGTCCTAGTACAGTTTGTTTCTGACAAATACAATAATTATAATGATTTTGCATTTTAAAGCAGAGTAAGACCTTAAAAAATGATTACAGAAAAATTAGCTAAATATGCTCGATAGTGCCCATGTTTATTCACATTTTATTTTTGCTTGAAACTTGTACGGCTTTGAGTTTGGTCTAATATCCAGATCCAATGAAAAGTGTGTGCCGTTTACAGATCAATAATGCTCAAGAACCTGGGGAATAACCGTTAAATTCCAATTTACTGTTGCTAATTGACCTTTAGATGGCCAATTTGGATGAGAAAACCCCATCACATGCACACGCACTAATCAATAAAGCATAACATTTACTATATTTTTTCCGAACGTAAACCCCAAGAAAAAAAAGCAATTTTCATCAAACCAATGACTTCCCACATCACTGGTATTTGGTAAATAGACCACAATACACAATCTTTTCATGAGTTAAAACAAATCAATTATAAATACAGTGTGCTAGTCCCAATCTCCCCGTGCTATTTGTGCGTAATAGGATAAAGACAGAAAACAACTGGCTCATCATTCTCTGAGTGTGAGAAAATCCTTAAATCAGCTTAGTCTGCTTTGCATGAGTTTCATATCTCCTCAACACAGCCCAACACAAATACTCACTGTCTACCGCTTTGTTACGACAGAAAACGACTTCAAAACATGGGCGCTGTCATTTACTCTGACTCTAAAACTATTTCCCTTTATTATATTTTTGGCACAAATACAAATGTTTAATATGGTTTTGGTCAAAGTCAAATATGAAGAAGGAACCTTTTTGAATTAGTCTCATAAAACCTGATTACATTAGCAAAGAGTATTCTAGTTTTGTATTTGGGATTTGTAAATATGTAACAGCATAAATGATAGCAGTTATTTGTAATAGTTATTTGTTAAGTTTAAGGGATCCTGTAATTGTCCCACAGGGGGGAAATGTCAGTGTTGCATCACAAGTTACTGAGCAGTAGGAATGAAGAGCACACAACACCAGATTAATGACTATTATTATACGGCTCCTCACAGCAGCTGTAGAACGCTCCACTGATTTGAATGTTATTTCAAAACGTTCCACCGGTCATTATTTCTTTATTTCGGACCTCTCAAAACAATAATGACGGCTGCCCTTTGGCAACGCACCCTCTGCTTGTAACTCAGATGTGTAGATTACTCCGCAAGTAGTTCGGCCACTGCGTCGCTACTACTGTCTCTATCAGAGCTAGCCACGCTCAATAGACAATAAATCAACCCATTTAAATGTTAATCGGAGAACACATTATACAAATACATTCGTAACACACGTGCACAGAGGTTTTCAGAAGTATCAGTAAACGTTTTCATGACAAAAATTATGTTTTAATGCGACAAAAAGCGGAAGTAACCGTTAACATGAAAAAACATTGTAAGACACATTTGCAAAGGATCGGTTTATGGACTTAGGTTGAGTTTATATTTGGGTCACTCACCGCTGATGCTCAGAATTCTTTGTTCCGTTTTCATGTAGAGTTCTAGTTTTGAAGTTGCTACCCTAACTGTTACTCGCCTGCCACGGGAAAACCTTTGGGAACTATTTTGTTTGCAGTCATTAAAAAAACCTTCCGGCATTCAAAAAAGTGGACTGAAGTTTATTTTGTGTGTTTGGTTGGTAAAAAGCCGTATAATAAACGGGATAATGTATCGTACGCAGGTCATTATCGGAAACGGCCTGCGCGTCTGGATCCGCTCCGCCCTGTCGGTACTTATTTTCCGATAATGACCTGCGTAATATACATTATCCCTTATAACTCTATACTAAAATAAAATAAATTCTCTAACTCTATCATAAAAAGAAGCAGCATAAATCTATCTTTAATATAATAAGGAAAGAAGTCTATAATCTCCAACTTTAGCATATTCAAGATGACCGACGAGTGGACTTCGAACATCACCCATAGTGTTTTCCTGAAGCCGATTAGAGCTAGCTCGAACGGAAATGTAAGTAATCCTTATTCGTAAAGCACATTTTGCAGACCAAGGTCACACAAAGCACTTTACAATGTTTTGAAGTAAAGTATATGTTTCCATTCCCTCCACATCGAAGCCTCCTCCCATCACCATCCTTCACTCTTTACATGACCTATTGTACATGTTTTTAGTAGTTGGGGAAACCGGAGCACCAGGAAGAACCCTACGCAAAGGAGAACATGCAAAACTACACTCAGAAAGGCCTTGTCTGGAAGTTGAATTGAACACAGGACCTTCTTGCTGTGAAGCATAAGGACGAGCTGCTGCGATACCAAGCCGCAAAGTGTGTGGGTGTCACCGACCGAGCAACCAAAGAGCCAATCAGGTTGCTCTGTTCCCCGCTCATGCTATCTGCCACTAAAGCCAAATTTGGGGACAGAAGGAACCTGATTGGTCAGTTGATAAGGCTCTAATCTGGATTTAGAAAGACAATATAAACAGGATCTTACAGAGCGGTGAACCATGGATTTTAACGCCCAAAATGGTGATTGTGACACACACCATTACAGAGATAGAAGAGTTTAATATACAATATAAGCGACAAGGACTAAAATCTTGTCCATGAGCACTTCCCTAATAGGCTTCATAGAGCTAGCGGGTTAGCACTGTCCATCTGTATATAGTCTATGGTGTAGGCCTAAGAAGATGTAAAATAATTATTCTCTCTATTCTAACAGACACATGTTTTATGATTATCACTGCTCATACACTTGCAGAACTAATAAGTTAATAGTTTGTTTTACTTTTTTTTACTATTTATGTAGATTTTAATGTTTAGGATTTATGCTTGATGTAATGTGGGTTGTGAGGCGCTTTGTGTTGCTTTGTGTAGGAAAGACCCTCTACAAATATAAGTTGATTGATTGCTTATTTATTTATTATTATTTATTTAGTATTTTTAACTTGTGAATTCCTGAGAAGTATTTTATAGATTTTATAAAGCTCCAGTTGTTAAGAGGTTTATATCTAAGGTTGGCTGATTGAAGGATGATGTATATTTCTGGGATCACTCGAGAACTGTCCTTCAAACAGCATAACATAAAACGTGCAATAGTAAAGACAAAATAAATATGTATGTGTGCTTACCTATCGCTTCTTTGAGGTATCTATGACCTATCAGTTTGAGGTACTCTTCCACGGCCTTCGTCGCCAACGTGTTCTCTCTGAAGATCAAATGCTCCCGGTCCATGAATCGATCGACTTCGCACATGGCCATGTCAGACAGGAACTCCTGCGGAATAAGTAGAAACGGTATCATTATTAGCACGCCATACTTCACTGATTCTGCCCATTTCCCTCGAGACCTGAAGGACGAGATATTCACGTGGTTACTTAAGAAACCTTTCACTACAGCTGAGAAGAAATGCAACCAACGTTTTAACCACATCGTAAAATAAGGGTTGACACAAAGCTGTTGCAAAGACGGAAAGGATGCAATTTGAATCTAAGTCTAAACCATGACCACAACTATCTGGTTTTGAATATGGTACATCCAAACAAAAAACTAACAGGACATTAGCAGGACAAATTAATACTAGATTACTGTATCAGATATTGAAAACTATCTATGCCAGGTGTAGTTTCTTGATTTCTTATTTTGAGCAGATTTGACTTGAAATTTAATTCATTTCTCATTTGGTATAAGATTATTGCTGAAGGAACAGGTCTAACTAAAAGGACAGTGGTGATGATCCACGACAATCAACAACATTTATGGACATTGGTCTTCTGCCCCTTATGGACCAATAACTATGTATTTTCTGTTTTATTTTTTTGTATTTGATTCTCTGATCTGTCTTTTCGAATTCAACGATTGAAAAAAGCCCTCCGAGATAACTGCTGTTGTGATTCAGATCGATACAAGAATAAATTGAATTGAATGAAACAAACACAAGGACTTATACACTTAAACAGGGTCTTATTGTAAAATGTATAATAACAATAACATATTGGTTTTACATAGCGCTGATAAACTACTCCTGTAGCCACAGCTGCCCTGGGGCACACTGTCTAAAGCGAGGCAACCAGTCTGTGCCATCGGCCCCTCCAACTACCACCAACCATTCTCACGCACACCAAAATCATTCTAGGCAATGTGGGTGAAGTGTCTTGCCTAAGGACACAACAACACTATACAGCCGCAGCCGCCCCTACTGTGGCACCTGGTGTTCCCAGAGGTCTCCCATCACAGTACTAACCAGGCCCTGCCCGATAAGCTTCAGTGGTTTGACGGCATATTGCTTTTGACATGCAAGTTTGGACAAAAATCCCCCAACAAATAAATGACTACTGTCTTCTCCCCACATGTTTAGAACCACAGACGCCTTGGATCTTTACCTTAGTCTTGCCTGTGCTTTGGAGAATGTGCACCAGAGCGAAGGCCACCTCCTCCTTGCTCTTGACGCTCAGCAGCGGCTCCAGCACCGCACACAGGGTCCGGTAGTTGTTGGTGATGTATTCGGCGAACTCCTTGTACAGCTCCATGGGCAGGATGTTCATGGTTTGGTAACGGGACTTGATGCGGAGGGACGCGTTGATGACTTTGCCGCTTCCCACTCCGCCGCCTTTGGCCAAAACGCTGGACTGGATCACCGGGTACCACTGCTCCACGAACTGGCGCCCTGTGATGCTGGAGATGGGGATGCTGACCAGGCCGATGTACGTGCTTTTCTCCTGGGACAAATCCAAAAAGGAGATTATTAAAGCTCGGATACCTAAGATTTTTGCTTAACCTAACGGAAAGTGTCTTGTGGTAATATGTTGTGAACAAATCCGACCCTCACATGGAGTCTTCATCTCATTGAAACAGTTTCACATTACACACTTGTAAGATAGAGCCCTGTGAGTCGCTATTTGACCCTATGGGCTAAGGTCTTACCAAACCATTGTACAAATTACATTTCGTACTGAGTTCTGGATTTGCTTCATTAGGTTCTGTTCACAGGTGGGAGGGGTTAACTCCTTTTGCAGATTGAAACGATTGGATCTGAGTTTGCTGTGAAGTATGTGAGGAGCTAGAATTTAGCATTTAGCCTAGCGTTAGCCATCTCCTTTGTCACTAACGGAGCCTGTGGGGAGAAGAGCCACAACATCTCTGCAGCAATGACATTTGCTAAACATTCCTCTTACTCGCCTTCAATTTCTTGATATTTTGAGCCGAACCACGGATTACTTTACTATTGCATTCGCCGCCATTGCCAAACTACAACCAGAAAATTTGGCACGGACTCTAGACGTCACTGACACCAACCTACAACACCCGCCTCCCCCGCTCGCTGATTGGTCGGAGGGGATTCAACCGGGGAAACTGCAGCCACTGAGATCAGATCCAGACATACATGTAAGAAATGATCATTGACCGGAGTTTATGGTTGGCTAAGACCAGACTAGACTGGCTGATAGAGGGTGAAAATTCATGTGAAAAAGCCAAATTGTTTTGGAAACCACAAACTATGCATTTCATAACTTCCATTCCTGTTGAAAGTTAGGTTCCCCAGCTTTAATTGGTCAATGGTGTCAAACTGTATATGAAGGTACAAAACCAGCAAAAATATACTGTAATCCTCACCTCAAAATATAAACTTGCTTGGTCAATTGGAAAATCTTTTTTATAGATAGTGAGAATATGTTAAAATCACCGCTCAAGCACTTATCAACCTATGATTTTTTTTTCTTTTAGCATTTCTGAACAATTTGCTATAATTGTTTTTGTGTGAACTCCAGCGCTGTTGTTAGTTTTAAGAGCTTTTCCTGACTGCTTTGTAGCTGGCTTCCAATAATTATGTTAGTTCTAATTTCCTTTACACATCTTTGTCAAAAATGTGCTCTCAGTAATCTAACTGATCCAAACTATATATTTTATTATTATACGTTACAATATACAACATAAATATACATAATACAAGCATTTTTCCTGAACAAACCCAAACATACTAATGTCCAATGTCGTATGAATTGTCATGTCATTTTCATCCCCTTTATTAGTCCATTTCTGGGTTGAGGGGTGGCAATCAGAGCTGACACCCAAATCTCAAAGCTCTGGTCCCTCGCTGATCCCACGGCAGGTGGTGGGTCCACGGGAAGATGGCTGCTGCTTTGACGAAGACACAGCCTTGGTGTTTAACGTGGGGTTAAGTGTCTTGCCCAGGGACACAACGACTGCAGACTTCAGTGGGAGTAGATGACATGGATCGTGGGGGGATCGAACCCACGACCATTAGGTTCCGAGACCAACTGAGCCTGTTGCCCCGTATGTCTCAATTTAATTCTTTTTTTCCCACTAATTTTATATGTAACTTCAATGGCTGTATTTCTTAGTACACGTATTGAAGTGATTGAAGTGATTGAAGTGATTGAAGTGCTGTAGGGAACTGATTTTCCTCTTGATTGATAAAGTATGTCTATGTATCTAAATTTCAATCTAAGTATACAGTATGTGTATTATAGGAAAAGTGGAGAAGGAACATGTCGAAAGGTCTCTTCAACAGAATCGATAATAGCTCTGGGGAAAGTAATAACAGTGCATATTTTCAGATGCATCAATCACTGCGTCTCATAGTCAGACGTAGATTGTCAGGTTCTTTTTTAAACCCAAATCGTGATTTTGTGCCAATCTCACCTTGCGTCTTTTCTTGTCTGTCTCCTTGTACAGGTGCAGTCTGAGGCTCCGGATGGTGGGCAGGTTGTTGAACTCAAAGTGCTCCCCCCAGAACACGGTGTCGGTGCGGGGCTTGCTGGTGGTGCGAGCGTACAGCATGTCGTCCAAACATAACTCACAGTAGTAGCGTTTCTTTGCAGGAAGATCCCGGGCCTCGATGATCCACAGCTTCAGCACGTTGTCCACCCTCCTGCTGTTGTCCTGCATGGGGGACATGGAGTTCTGTTACCACAATATAACGTCAATTCATCAACTTGAACTGAAAGGTCAAGAATAGTTTTTTTAAGCAGCGATTTACCTTGTTGGGTTTGATGGCCCGTTGCAAGTTTTCTATCCACTTGTCGCGTTCCGAAGCAGAGCGGCAGGCAAAACATTTAGTCCCTGAATTGGTTGTCACCTGCAAAAGGAGAGTAAATTCATCACTATCAATCAATCAATCAACTTTATTTATGAAGCACAGTTCATACAGAATGCAACCCAAAGTGCTTCACATTGGCAACATGCTGTTAAAACAACTACAAAAGACAATTTAAAAAGAAATAAATATAAATGTATTTATTATATGACTTGGCTCGTCCGCGCGCTCTGATTGGTTGATTTGCGGTCTGATATTTTCCCATCTCGGACCGTTACCATGACAATTGGTCCGCCGCACGTATAGCATTTGATAACAGTCAAGAAGAGATTGACAACTTCATTACAGATCAGAAAGCTAAAAACACGGTTAGGAAAACCAAGTCGGCTCGGTCTGTACCAAAAGGCCGCGGTCTGATATTTCTCTGTACATACCTCGCGCTCGTTTAATAAGACGTTAATATCACTATGTCCAAATCAACATCAAATTATTTGTTTCCGCAAAGGGAATACATAAAGTGAGACGATCATAACCTCCAGTTCCAGAGAGGCAAAAAGAATGTGCCTATATCTAACCTTCAGGCGCCAAAGCAGCTTAATTTCTAAAAGAACCTGTCTTTCCTCAAATATTTCTAAGCATTTTTTGTATTATCTATTCGGTTGGTTGATTTTAGTAAAGTCCTCTGCCTCTTCTATCTCCTCAATGTCAGGGCTCTCTCCTTTTGTCTGTTTTGTCTAGCACCAAATTAACTTGAAGGCCCAGGGTTTTCTGTTGAATGAGCCATAAACATATAAAACATCTATACAATTGATAGTTTTTGAAGCCGGAGCCAGATTTTGCTGTAAAAGAATCAATAACAGCCAAATGCTCTAACACAATACACAACACTGCAATATACAGTAATCCTTGAGTACACCTTTGAGATTAGTTTCCAGTCTAGTTGGGATTTAGCTCTTTAATAGTTTCCTCAACCATTTAGTGGATCACTTTTTGAGTCGCAATATCTAGTGGAAGTTTGGAACTGAAATCTACCTAGATGGGGCATCTCTATCTATCTGGGTCTAGGCACTTTTACCATCAAACTGCATCTCAAACACTTGGTAAAGGCCTATAATAAAAATAGGGGTTAAAAAATAAATAAGTGTGTTTTTAGTGCTTTTACATATTATGAAATCAAAAGGTTAGACTAGAATAGAATAGAACTTTATTTTCTGTTCAATTGAGCAGAGATTTGTCTTTCAACACGGCACAATTGAAAGGTTATTCATTAAAACACACTTAAAATACTCGATCTGCACTTTTTTAGTATTTGATTTACCAATGATAGATATAAGTGCTTGTAATTATTCACATGTTCAGTGCTCTCTTCACCGTCGCTCTTACCTCAAAGCAGTATTCTTGCCCTAGGATGCTAGAATGGACAGGTTTGATGACGGCATCTTCATCCAGAACCAGGTCCAGGGCCTCTGCAGCGGTGCTGGGGGAGAGCAAGGACTCATGGGAGTGGGACTCTTTGAAGCTCTGCATCAGCCGCGTCCTGGAGAATAACACAGACGAGTTCAAACACACGGGCAATGCTAATTAACCACTTCAATACACGGCCCTCATTTAGCAGCACGGTGGGGCTAGCTACAGCATATGCTCGTGTTGTCACAGCGCTAATATCTCGGTAACATTTATTTTTGAGGGTTTTTTTTGTTTGTTTTTGCTTTTGTATTCAAGAAGGTAATTCTATATAAATAATACTTCAGACCTGTCTTTTTCTGTGATGTTGATAATTGCGTTTAGGGATGACGTAAAAAAAAACAAACAAAAAAAACGCACAACTCACGACCAGGCTAAAGCTAATTGTAAACAAAATATTGTTTTTGTTTACAATTAGCTTTGTTGAATTGACAAATCCTCCGACAGCAATGGGCTATATCCACGGGGAGGCGTGACGTCATTTCCTGTTAACAAAGATCAGCCCGTTCACTTCCTGTCTATGCTATCCTGTGGCTTTTAGGTGGGTTTTAGTGACGTTTTTTAGTAATTAGATTGATACATTCAGCTGTGAGACTGACCCAAAAGTGTCGCTGTGCTTTCTCTCTGAGGTAGAGCTTTGACTGTGGCCACTCAGAGAGATAAAAACTTTATAAAAACACAATGACAGCACAATCAAAGAGCACTGTTGTGTCCCAAAAATGCCCAGTATCCTCACAGTTTAATTCCCGTTTGAGCATTATTTGGGAAACTTGTGCAAACCACTGCTGAACTCCAGTGAAACTCACGCCGTTTCCCGCGAACAGGAAGTGAAGTGGGGTTGTAGCTAAAATGCGGAAGTGGTGCGTGCATAGAGCCCATTGAATAGAATTTTGTGAAAAACGGCTGCTAGCATAACGTTAGCCTATCATGCATCCTGTTGTTCCACTGCTTCAATGCAATTTTTATTTAAGTTGAACATAAAGCATAAGCATAGCATAAAGTAAAACGAATCAAAAATGAGCTGTTAAAGCTGAGGTAGCTAATGTTAAATATTCATAAAGCTGAGCTATGTAAATTACCTATAATCTGTCTATAAGTCCCAAGAGCAAAAAGAGGCAGAAGAGTACAAAATAGTGGCTCACTGGGCTCAGGATTTTCTAATAAGATTAGGACAGCACGTTGTTGTCTAATTTGCTTTTAACAAGACTCTTTCAGTTGGACACAGAAAATATATTATTTATGGAGAAAAACATGGAAATGATGTCTACTTAGTTTAACATTGACACTAACATTGTCAAATAATGGTGGCTATAATATTTACTGCAGCCTTTGTCTTCAGAGTTCCCTTTTATTTCCATAATTGTTTCCATAATCCTCTTGCTTTGCCATAAATCACAAAATGCAAGTCTCAAAACTCAAAACTGTAGTGAAACAAACTAAAGTTCTTTGTGAAACACTCCGAGGAACAGTTTCTTTTATACACATTGACCTTTGGAGGAGGCCGCGTAATGCTCTGAGAACTAAAAGGAGATGGTGAAGGAGAGAAACTGCAGCGGTTTCAGGTTTGGGTCATGGGGCCAAATGAAAACGTACGGCCACTAAAATGGATCGGTGCAAAGCATTGTGGGTAAAGCCGACACATTGAATTAAGTTTATGGTTGGAACATCTCACAGCAGATTTATGTTTTTGAAATGGATATTTTTGACTGAAAAAGTTGCAGTTCCTGTTTTAAAACTACAGAAATGTTGAAATCTGTGACGGGTGGAAGAAAATGTATATTGTCCTGAAAGTAAGAAAAGAAAACCTATATCTCACAGCGACCATAATGTCAGATAAAAGATTGTTAATATCCAGAGGCTACTCCATCTCTGCTGCTGTGAGCTGATGTGATGTTGCATTTTATTATTACTCTTGTTAGCTTTTTAGAATGATACATTTCTTTGTTTTTTTTTGTGTGGATGGATGTGTTTTTGCTGCTGCTGGACATCTGAATTTCTCCTACGGGTGATATGTCTATCTATCTATATTGTAACTTTACTTGGAACAGCAAAGCCTTCAAAACAGCTAAATGTTCGGAGAAGATCAGATGCGTTATGGAATCCTTGGATCATATAATATGCACGTATATATATGTGTATGTACGTATATATATGTAAGTATATACTGTATGCAATCAGTGAGTGACTGAAAGTTGATTGATTTAGTCAAACAATTTAGCCGGTCATTTAATAGTTTTTGAATCAGACACAGACTAGAAAATGCTGCGAAGAGTTTTTGTGATTCAGACAGAACTTTAATTCGTTTTTTTTAGAATTAAATGAAAATGTGCAATAAGTGTTTTCCTCACACTAATTGATTATCAAAATAGAAACTAATGAATACATTTTTGGGAAACAACTGAGCAACAGCGGCTCGGTTGGAAGAGCATTGGCAGTGAAGGTTGTGGGTTCGATTCCCCCACGAGACCTACTCCAACTGCTCCCACTAATGTCTGCTGGCGTTGTGTCCTTGGGCCCTTCTCCTGCAGGCCCCGCTGAAAGATCAAGGCTGCGTCACCGCTGACACCGCCTGCAGCAGGATCAGAGGGACTGGTGCTATGAGCATTGGTTGGTAGTTCTGATTGTCACCCCCCCAACCCAGAAATGGACTAATAAAGGGGTTGAAAATGAATGAATGAATTAATTAATTACAGCCATACTCCTGAACAAAAACATAGAAACAAAAGTTTGCATGAAAACGATTCTATCAAATGAACTGTTGGTCCGGAGAAGTCAGTGATTAGAATTATGCCAATTTTTCAGATAATGTTGGGTTCTGATTTCCAAACAATTGCTTCTGTCAAAATTCAACTAATAAATAATCCATCCATCCATCCATCCATCCATTTTCTTCCCTTTAATCCATTTTTGGGTCAGGGGGGTGGCAGTCAGAGATGCCACCCAAGTCTCATAGCACCAGCCCCTCACTGACCCTCTGCAGGTGGTGAGTCCACAGGAGGTCTAATAAATAATGATAAGTGTAAAATGAAGAGGCGCATGTAGGACGCTGCACTGTTGTAGCTGCTTTGATCCTCAGACAGAACATGGAGACTGCACAGGAGACAGCTCTACCTTTGAAGACACACGATCATTATTCACGGGGAGTTTATTTAAAGGCACGATGGATGTTCATTGGTCAACGCTGCAGCTCGTCGCGTCAACAGCGGCGCCACATTCACAGCAGCAGCAGCAGAAATGAAAAGTGTTTGGCAGCCCGGGAGAGCAGCTGGCCCCGGAAAGCTCCAGTGTGAAGTTGGATATGGGATTTACAGAAAAGTCAACTTAACAGCACTGAGCTCTGAATTAAGTGAGTGTGGGCAGGACGGAGCAGCCTGTGACGGCGGCTGAATGAGGCAGCGTTAACCCCAGCTCTCGGAAGGAAAACCGAAACACGTTTTTACATTTAAAATTAGCTGCAGCTTCACTCTGGATGAGGACAAGGCTTTTCCTAAAATGCACCGAGTATATATTGAAGAAACCAGAAGGGAAGTGACCCATTTTTGAATACGACAAAATAGGGAGCAAGACTTTTAAACTACTTTTACTTTCTCTTTCACCATGTTTAACATACACTCAGACATTTGTTATTAGCCACTCCTGTTGCAGCATATCGAAAGTAAACCAGACATATAGAATATCCATAGACTAACCCAGTGTTTTTCAACCTGTGTGCCAGGGAACATTAGTGTGCCTTGTGATGGTATTCAGTGTGCCTTGGGAAATGATCCAAAATCACCAATTTGGTCAAAATAAGGTGAAAAAAGAAAGAATTAGAAGATTACAAATACTTCCTGGCACTTCTCTGATTTTCTTTATAATATGCTTTGATGGTAATGACTTTGTTTTGTTAATAAAGGCTGCAGAGTTACATCAGTTTGTATCAGTTTCAGCTGGTGATGTGCCATGTCCATCCATCCATCCATTTTCTACCCTTTAATCCATTTCTGGGTCAGGGGGGTGGCAGTCAGAGATGCCACCCAAGTCTCATAGCACCAGCCCCTCACTGACCCTCTGCAGGTGGTGAGTCCACAGGAGGACGGCTGCTCTCTGAGTGTGAGCATAGCCTTGATCTTTCAGTGGGGGCTTTGGGCAAAGTGGGGTTAAGTGTCTTGCCCAAGGACACAACGACAGCAGTCATCATGATGACTGACTGATGTGCCATGTGATAGTTTTAAATGAAAAAGGTGTCCCACGACTCAAAAAGGTTGGGCTACACTGGATTTACCGAGTGCTGACATCACTTTAAGTGTTTGCCGAATGCACAAAAAAGCTGGTTTGAGCATAAGCTAGCAGGATCAAACGTCCTTTTATGGATATTTGGTACGACGAGGTTAGCTTTCCGCCGTAACAAGGGCAGAGGTGTTGCTAACATGGTTGCTAAGGCAAGCTGAAGTTTTGGTAATTCCTTATATGACTCATAACTGGATATACAAAGACAATATTACATAAAAACATGATCATAGAGAGAGTGCTAAACCACATATTTATAAGCCCAAAATGGTGAGACAGAAACGGTTACTGAGCGTGAAGAGTTGACTTTTCAATGAAAGTCAAAAGGAGCCAGAGTGAATTTTTAGAATGAGCACTTCTCTATTGGGCTTTCAGCCAGTGGGTTAGCAATATCTATCTATATACAGTCTATGAGTGTATCCAACTGGACGATTAAAGGAATAGTTCACCGTTTTTACATACTGACATATGTTCTCACCTTACCTTAGACTAGTTAATATGTACCTGTCTGGTCTTAGTCCATGCGCTCTGTCATGCAAACGGAGCGAAAACGGGAGCACAAACGCAGCCTCCTCTGTATACTGTATAGGACCCAAAAGGTAGCTCCCACTAGAAGCTACCAAACTCTTCCAAGTGTTCCCTATTAAATGTATATAGTTACGTGACGTGTTACACTGCAAAGTATAGTAACACAGAAATGTAACTGTCGATTTTCTCAGCGGGTACTATATTGTGAGGCGTAGTAATCTGAGGAGCGCTACGTCCGCGCACTAACTTCTCTCCGGAGACTTCTCTCTCGCTCACTTCCGTCAATAGAAGCAGCGTGACTTGTAGTACACACAGTAGTAGCAGAGACTTATCGGATAGCTAGTTTGAGGACAGTTGAGGCAGCATCAAGCTATCCGATAAGTCTCTGCTACTACTGTGTGTACTACAAGTCACGCTGCTTCTATTGATGGAAGTGAGCGAGAGAGAAGTCTCCGGAGAGAAGTTAGTGCGCGGACGTAGCGCTCCTCAGATTACTACGCCTCATAATATAGTACCCGTTTTATCCGCTGAGAAAATCGACAGTTACATTTCTGTGTTACTATACTTTGCAGTGTAACACGTCACGTAACTATATACATTTAATAGGGAACACTTGGAAGAGTTTGGTAGCTTCTAGTGGGAGCTACCTTTTGGGTACTATACAGTATACAGAGGAGGCTGCGTTTGTGCTCCCGTTTTTGCTCCGTTTGCATGACAGAGGTACATATTAACTAGTCTAAGGTAAGGTAAGAACATATGTCAGTATGTAAAAACGGTGAACTATTCCTTTAAACACAGACTAGAACATCTTAACTTAAACAATAACTAACTGAAGGACGTTGAGAGCAGTTTCATTCCATAACAAAGCTTTCTGGATCCTGATCTGGATAACCTTCAAAGTGATATAGTTACTTGCTGGTCTCATTTCCGAGGATTCCTGAAAATGTCACATAATTCCACCCAGAACCTTTTGAGTTATGTCAAAAACAGACAGACAGAAAAACAAACTCAGAGGTAATAATTTCTGTTATAGTTCCTCTCTCGATATTGTGGCGGAGACCAAGTAGAAATAGCTTTCGTAAAAATACTTTTTATAGTTTAGTTTATACTTTTTTGTAAGTAGGCCTCCAGTTTCGTATGTAAAACTAGTCAATAATGCATCTCTTACTATAAATCTCTCTCAGGTGAACTGCAACATCGTGCATTTATAAAGCACTGCGGTCTCGCTCCATTTGAGAATAAAGAATGAGCTAAACGATAGCTTCATTGTCTTGCCGTATCGGACATACTGCACTTGCCCTAAAAACGTCTGTAGTGTCTCTGGTGGCGTTGGAAAGTGTTCTGTCAGCAAACACACTCCCTGCCTGCCTTTTCTTCAACCTTACAGTCTCCATATGTGCTGCCTGACGGGAGTGTGTGAGGACTGCATAAAAATTTGATCACATTGCAAGATGAATCCCGTCAGGATATGACCCAACGTCAGGACCCTAAAACAGGGAGAAGCTGTCACGAACTACAAGCACTGCCAGAATTTACCTAACACAATGGTGGAAGCTAAGAAAGCCACCATTTACTGTCCAGTGCCCAGCCAAGCCTTATAGCAGTCAAATGGCTCTAATTGTTTTCATAATAACTTGAGTTATGTAAATGTTTAAATGTCTACCTTTCTTGGTCAGCGCTTCGAAATCGTGGGAGAATCATTTGCTTGAAGCTGCTTGTGCGGTCCAACTTGGGCTGACTCTTGGCCCTTTTGATGGATCCCTTTAGCCTCCTGTTTAGGAAGCTCTGCGAACATAAAGACACACCATAAGAAACATGGAATCACACTTATTTGTGGGGACAAACTGTATTTCATTGTAACTCACCGGTTGCCTGAAAGGCTGTGGGTTGGTATTGGGAGGTGTCTCCATGCTTGACTGTCTTACAGAGGCAAAACTTGCCCTGCGAGATTGGTCTAGAAAGAGAAAACATATCAGACAGATAACCCAGTAGAATTAACATTAGAAACACATTGTAAAGATTATACAGACAACAAATAGAAAGACTTTTGTAATCACGTAGACAAAGTATAGAGTCTGGTGAAGCTCGACAAGAACAGCTACTGCCTCAGGAGACAACACTCAACACTGACATTTTGAAGACATTTTTCTGCAAGGTCAATGTGATTGGTGTGGCGGCCGTATCCAGCTTCTTTATAAAAGAGGACATGAGTCATGTGTTCTTCTTAGATCCGGGACCAACTTACTGAGTACTAACTCTAAACATAGAACTATCAATAGAATATGGACCAGTGTCTTCAGGGAAATATTTTCATGAATAATCAGACTCACTGCATCTAGGTTCAATAGAAAATAATGTATGTGTGGGACAAGTACATTTGTAAGTAATAAAACAAGATTGTTGTGTCAACAACGTGACAACAAAGAACAGTAATGACAAGTTTCTTTACAACATCAAAGTCCCACATCTAAAAATAGCAATTTTTAAAAAGATAAACAAACTGCAGAGATGGATGAAACACTCAACACTATGATGTCAAACTAATTATACACAGGCTTTAGAACACAAGTGACACCAGTGATGCAACAACTACCACCAATACTAGTATTACTGACTATTTTATAATTGTTAAAAGGAGAGAACTATTCCCTTTTGATTATTACAAACACAAATATGATGTAGATATACTGTACATGTAATATTAGCGATCACCTCCTCGTGGACACTGATATTAAAAACCTTCTCCAAAGAAAAATGTTCTTGTATTTAAGAATGATCTTGGATCTCAAATTGGTAAAGACATTAGTAATCTGCTCTAGCTCGGAGTAATTTACCATCTGTTAAAACTAAATATACATCCTTAGTCAAACTTTTGTAGAATATATTTCCACAAAATGAGTGAGTTGCATTTACTGCAATAATATTTATTAACAATGATGGAGCTGTAGCAGCAGACTTTTGATGTCAGTGTGGAGGTTCAGTTTTCCCATGATGCAACAGAATCCTGTTTTATCTATCCTTGGCATTTGGTTCACAGCCGAGGAGTTTGATGGTGTCTCTTCATCTATTTGGGCTTGTGTTTGATTCTTAGGGACATTTCTAGTCTTTTCCCATAGGACAGCATGCTGCTCTATGTGCTCCGCCATCCTATGATTTCTGTGCTTCCAAAGCCTAATCTGAATCCAGCTAATTGTTTGGTCACCATGGAAACTACTATCAGCGCTTACTATTTCATATATATAAAGAATTATTGCACAAAATGGAGTTAGGAACAAATGCTATCTTCCTGAACAAGATCTGCAAGGTCTGTGAGAAAAATGATCAATTCACAAACAAAATCAATGGTCGCGCCCTAAAAAATGTTTGGATTTGAATGTGTTTTGACAATTTCTCAAAATGTGTAGCTTTTGAAGTAAAACGGCACATTAATCCACGGATATGTTCTGAATGTAAATTGCTGTCAGGAGCAGAGTGTGTGGGCGGCTGCAGCCTCTAGCTAGCTGTGATAGAGAGAAGACGCGGAGTGGGTGTTGGAGAAACATATTCAACCTTGAGCATATATCTCTCTATTAATACACACAGAGACGGCATTATTGGAGGAAATACGTTGATGAAGAGGATTTCAAACACGTATGACGTTTTCTCAGCTAAAGACATTTATCTTTGAGAGAATATATTTAGCGTGACGTGCACTTGACGTCCTGCATGAGCTCAAGTGCTTCACATGGATTCTTCTGCTCAAATATGCAAGAAGCTATTTCCTCTAGCATGTGGGTGGATAAATATCATGTTCAATGTTCAAAGTAATTATTTGAGAGTCAAACACAAATGAAAAGCGGTTAAATCGATTGAAAAAAGTACAATAAAAGTGCAAAAGGAGGTTTGCACTATTCTTTCTTTTATTACTTTCACCAAAGCAATGTTTTTGTCGCCTTCATCAGAAAACACTGCCATTCAAAGCACAGGAAAGTGCAAATTAAAGTGATTTTTATTTTTAGGGAAAACCAAAGCACCCTGATAAAAATGCTGACATGGAGAGAACATGCAAACTCCACTGAGAAAAGGAAGCGCTGTTTCAGTCGGGAGTCGAACCCAGGACCTTCTTGCTCACAACGAGAATGAAAGCCACTCAACCGACAGAATGAATTACGATCACATATCTTAATGTGATCATAATGTTATGACCGAGCACCAGCAATATCTGTACTTAAAAATAACTTTTCAACTAAAAACAGAAACACATATTTAGTTTGTTTTTTAGGTTTCTGTCACAATTGAAACATGCAGGAGGATCAGCGAGAGCCTGGTGCTATGAGCATTGGGTGGCAGCTCTCATTGCCACCCCCCAGACCCAGAAATGGACTCATAAAGGGGTAGAAAATGAACAAATGAATAGTTTTAAACCATTACGTATGAAAAGGTTTTATGTTTAAAGAAATAGTCCTCCACGTCAGTCTCATCTCTTTTGCAAACAGCTTTTCTTCCAAGTTTGTACTGCGTTTGGGGACATCCGCCTTCCCATCAACTCTGACACTCTTCCCTGTCCCTTCTGAAGAAAAGCAGCCCGCAGCATGTTGCCAGCACTGGGCATGACAGAGATGGTGTGAGTCGAGTGATGAGCTGGGTTAGTTTTCCACCACACATGGCCTTTTTTAACCGTGCTTTAAACTCTCCCCACTGTGAAATGTCCACACTGCAGGACGAATAACGGATCTTTTCATATTAATCTAACTTCACACCTGACCTTTTGTTAGATTCCTTGGACTTCCTCATTCTGTTTGGTGGCATTCTCTGGACAAACCTCTGAGGGCCTCACAAAACAGTTATTACTGAGATTGGATTACACCATTCAGCAATCGACAAGAAAGTTCGAAAGGCAAATGGTTGCACTCAACAAACAGAGGCCACTTTTCAGTCTTTCTTTGTTGGAAATAAGAAAAGTTCTGCATCATTTGACTTTCACTTTACTTTCACTTTATCTGACCCCTTTGTGTTTCTTTTCTTTCCCATTAAATGCCATAAATATATCTACAGGTTGTGGGTGTAAAATGACAAAGTGTTGGTTGTCATAATGTCATATCTTCCTGTTCATCTCTTCCAATATATGTATAGCAAATAATATTATAATGAAAATACACATTGGTTTCATTTTTTAACAGTTTCGAGTGGTGGCGTGCATCATGTCTTTTTGCCTAGAGAAAAATAGCCATTGCTCAATAACATCGGGAAATGCTAAAATACTAAAATAACGGAGTCTCTGAATGTGGCGCATTTGCAGCTGTGACTTACATCAGATCTTGTAACTTCAGTAATCTCCCTTTAAATAATGCACGTTTCTTGTTCATATCTTGAAAACCATTGAAAGTCTTCGCACATTTTACAAAACTGCGAATATCCCCACACAGTCTCGCTAAGTTGGGCACTTAGAATAAAGTGTGATGTCCTCTTAAGTGATGCCTCGTCTGTGATCGCAATAACAAAGAATCTGAACTCTCCATCATGTTGGTCAGTAGGAACCAAGGCATTCTCTGTATTCTCTGTAAGTAATAATAATGTTTGACCATGTATGCTTTTTGACATGCTGATTTCCCTCCATTACACTGCAGAGCTTTTTATGTGGAAGTGAGTCTCTTCTCTCTTTTGTAATGTATTTTGGTTGGGGTCAGGGTGATTGTTTCCTGTAAGAGCCATCAGCTGTGGATCTGTGATGGACTGGACTCTGCAGAGTGAGCTGACTCACAGAGCGGCATGTGGGTCTTTGTAATTGCCATATTTCTCCTGTAAACATTGGTCATGGCAGCGGCTAACTGCTTATTTTTGATGGAAAGGCACTATTTTTAACAGAGTATTTTTAACTGTTGCCTGATGGTGCTATTTCTAGCTTAATGCCTGCACTGGGGACAGAGGGGTTATTGCAGCTGTATCTAAAAATAGTTGTTCTTATGCAATGATGATGCAGTCAATCTAATCTATATCTATTTTTATATTTAGTCGTTATGGAGCTGGGCTTACCTGGTTTTCTCACACATCTCCCACAAAGCCTTCAGCACATCATTCTCATGCTTTCATTTTCAACCATTTCCTTGAGTTTTACAAACATCACTTATTTAAAAGCCAGGAACCCCAAACCAGTCATTTGGACGTACTGTATGTTGGCCAATGTTACTTGAATTGAAGAAGTGAACCAAAATGTTGTAATTAGAAGCCAATTATTATTATGTGCATTTTTCCATCTCAGGATATTCATAAAATGCATGTGTTTTAGAAATCAAAAGGCTCATACGGTTTTCAGTCTGGATTGCATCAGTTCATTTAGGAGTGAATAGTTTGCAAAGTAAAATATAACGAAGCTCTGGGTGCAGTGCAGGTGTATGAGCGGAGTTTGAGCCCTCGAGTCAAAATCCAGTCTGAACTAGCCTGGTCGTACCATACCATAGTACACATTACATTTCGTACTAAGGTCTGGATTCGCTCCATTGAGCTCTGTGAACAGGTGGGAGGGGCTAACTTATTTTGCAGATTGAAACGATTGGATCTGAGTTTACCGTGACCTATGTAGTGCGCCAGAGTCTGTTGTTAGCATTTAGCATTTAGCCTAGCCATCTCCTTTGCCGCTAACGTAGCCCGTGGGGAGTAGCGCCACAATTTTTTCCAGCGATTACATTTGCTAAACATTACCCTTGCTCCGGCTTCAATTTCTTGATAGAACCAGACCGGAATACTTTACTATCGCATTTTTCGCGATTGTCAAACCACAACCTGCCCGTTCGACGCAAACTCTTGACGTCACCCACAACTAACTACAACACCCGCCTTCGGTGCTCTATGAATGGTCGGTCGAAACTCAACCGATTGTATTCGCTAACACAGGGACCAGACGCAGACGTTACATGCAGTGAAATGATGATTGAACGGAGAGTACGGATGGATAAGGCTAGGCTAAGTCTAATACAG